GGTCAGGAGCAGCAGCCCCAGCCGCAGCAGGAGCAGCCCGCGCCGCAGCCGCCGTCCCAGCTGCAGCCCCCGCAGCAGTGGGCTCGCCTCCCGCCTGGTTGGCCCGGCTCCTCAGGGGGTGGTGGCAGTGGTGGCGGCCCGCGCAGCTTGGCGTCTACCAGCGGCTCCGGTGCTGTCACCTGTCAGTACCAGCTTCAGACCAGGCCCCTTCGCGGCACTCTGTGCCGCCGCCCGCACCCGACTGCCCGCTGTTTCCGCCGCCTCGACGATCTGTTTTGTCGTCGCTTTGGCCCGGCCCCGGACCACCCAGACTGGCACAGCCTGCTCCGCCAGGGCGTGCCGATCTTTGAGTTAGACATGGATCAGATAGGTGCTACTTTGCATGCCATGTATTCTGACGCTGCTAGTGTTGCTGGATCTTATTATCATGTGTTCTCTAGTTTAGGTGTTGCACCGTTGTGTAGCCTAGCCTCCCCTGCTACGTCAGGCGTAGGACTGCCTAGTTTGTCTAGCCTCGTCTCTGCACCGGCTCCGTTCCCTGCCCCTACCACTGCTGCGCTGTCCTTCACTCTCGACTCCGGTGCTTCTGCCTGCTTCTTCCGCGACCGTTCCGCACTTACGCCGCTTGCTACGCCAGCTGTCGTCTCTCTCGCCGACCCCTCTGCGGGTCCTGTCGTCGCTCGCAGTTCTACGTCCCTTCCCTGTCCAGCCGTTCCCTCGGGCTCCCTTACAGGCCTCCACGTTCCCTCATTCTCGAGGAACCTGGTTGGTGTCGGCTGTCTCCAGGACCTCGGCGTCACCACCACGTTCCCCGGGCACGAGCGGTTCGCTGTCTGTTCTGAGGCTGTCTCAGGTTCCCCCCTTGCGACGTTCCCCAGGGAGCCGGTGTCCGGTCTGTTTACCCTAGACACCGCCTCCCCTCCGGTTGGTGCGTCCTCTCAGGTTGCTGCAGCTTGCTCGTGTCGTTCCCTCACTCACCTATCCCTTCTCTGGCACCACCGCTTAGGTCACCCTGCTCTCCCTCGTCTGCGTCACATGTCCCAGCACGGCCTTGTCTTAGGTCTCCCTGTGTCGCTCCCCGCCCTTCCTCCCTTGACTGCGCCACCGTGCACGCCTTGCGTCGAGGGCCGGCTCCGCCGTGCCCCTCACTCCTCCTTGCTGCACCCGGCTACTGCCCCCCTTCAGACCCTGCACCTGGACGTTTGGGGCCCTGCCCCCGTCCCCGGACCGCGCGATGAGTGCTACTTCCTTGTGCTCGTCGACGACTACACGCGCTACACCACGGTGTTTCCCCTGGAGCGGAAGGCCGACGTGCCCGACGTTCTTCTCCCGTGGGTTGTGGCTGCGCGTCTCCACCGCGGTCTCCCCGTGTTGTGTCTCCACTCCGACCGTGGCGGCGAGTTCGCCTCTGGTCGGCTTGGACAGTTCTGTCGTGCGGAGGGCATCACCCAGTTGTACACCTTGCCGGACTCGCCACAGCAGAATGGGGTTGCTGAGCGCCGCATCGACTTGGTCATGGAGGTCGCCCGCACCTCCATGATCCATGCCGATGCCCCCCATTTTCTGTGGCCGTTCGCTGTTCGCTACGCTGCTCACCAGCTTAACCTGTGGCCACGCTCCCAGCGGCCGCAGGTTTCGCCGACCCTTCTTTGGACCGGTCCCCCGGTGACGCGTCTGCGTTCCACGTCTGGGGCTGCCTTGCTCACGTTCGTGCCTCTGGCACGAACAATCTCAGTGCCCGCACTGTCCCCTGTGTCTTCCTCGGTTTCCCCCCGGACTCGTCTGACTGGCTTTTCTATCACCCGCCGTCTCACCGCTTCCTCCACTCTCGTGACGTTACCTTTGACGAGTCCGTCTCCTTTTACCGCCGCTTCCCTCACCGAGGTCTCCCAGTTGCCCCCCCCCCTGTTCCTTGCTCCCTCTCCCCCGGTAGCCCCTGCCCCTCTCCCGCCTCGTCCTGCCCCGTCTGGTGTCTCTCACGTCACTCCCCTCCTGTCGATTGTCCCCGTTGAGGAGTCTGCTGACTCTGGTGGTACCCCCGGTCGGTCCTTGTCCGCGTCCCCCTTCCCCGGTGCCTCCGCCCCCACTGTCGCAGCCGCCGTCGCCGTCGCCGCCGCAGTCGTCGCCGCCACTGCCGCCGCCGCTCTTGGCTTCTGGGGGTGCCGCTGGTGTTGGAGGGGGTTCTCGCTCTGGGGGTGTTGGTTCTGGGGGTGCTGCGATTGAGTGTTCTGCCGATGGTCGTTCTGCCTCTGCTGGTCCGAGAGTTCCGGCCCAGCCGTCGTCGCCGCCGCAGCAGCTGTCGCCGCCGGTCTCCGCTCTCCGCCTACTCGGCCTTCCCTCCCCGGACCGCGTGCCGGTGTCTCCCCCACCGCCAGCTGACCTTACTGTCTACGGTCCTGTGTTCCTGCCGCCAGACTCGTCTCCGGCCCGTCTTCCTCCTTGTTCCCCTCCTGTGTCTCCTCCGCTGTCCCCTGACCCCACCCCTCCGTCTCACGTTTGGGCTCGTCGTCCCTCCTGTGCTCGTCCTGTCTCTCCTGTCCTGACCACCCACCCTATGTTGCTCCGTTCCCGCTCGTCTCGTCCTCCTCTCCTCCCGTCCCCTCCTCCCTCGTCCCTTGCTGTTGCACCTCCTCCGTTCTCTGACTACCTCCGTGCTGCTCGTCCCCTTGTCCCTCGGGTCCTTGCCTCTCTTGTTACCGACCCGCTGTTCCTGTCTCGCGCCTTGACGCGCTTGTCGCTGCTGTCGCTGACTTCGCCTCTACCCGCCGCCTTGACTACGCTACCGCTCTGGTCTCTGACCCTACCCGTCCTACGTCCGTCGGGGGTGCTCCTGCCCTTGGCAGTGACGTCCTAGAGGATAGGCAGTACGAGCTGGCTTTCCTGTCCGAGGCTGCTCCCCATCTCTGCTCCATGCTTTTAGTCCCTGAGGGTGACCCAGACGCCTTCGACATCCCGACCCCTCGCACCTACGCTGAGGCCACCTCAGCCTACACGAGCAGGTCTACCTGCGCCGACCACAGGGCTTCACTGGTACCTTCTCTCCTGGGACCCAGTGGCTTCTCAGGCGCCCGGTCTACGGCCTGGGTCAGGCTCCCCGCGAGTGGCACGACACGCTACGTGCCACGTTAGCAGACCTGCAGTTCTTTCCGTCCTCTGCTGACCCTTCACTGTTTGTGCGTTCCGGCCAGACTCCGTTCTACATCCTTGTCTACGTAGACGATCTGGTCTTCGCTACTCCTGACAGGGACGCACTGGCCTCTGTGAAGACTGAGCTGCTGAAGAGACACACCTGCACTGATCTTGGAGAGCTGCGTCGCTATCTTGGCCTGCAGATCTCTAGGGACAGAGCAGCACGCACCATCACTCTGACCCAGTCACACTTGGTGCGTCAGGTCCTTCAGAGGTTTGGTCTTCAGTTCTCCTCTGCACAGCCCACACCTCTACCTGTAGACCACGGGCTTTCCGCTCCTGTTCCTGAGGAGTCAGTAGAGCCCAGCGGCCCCTACGCAGAGCTGGTGGGTTGCCTCATGTACCTGATGACCTGCACTCGCCCAGATCTCGCATACCCTCTCAGCATCCTGGCTCGCTTTGTGGCCACTGCCAGACACCGACCACAGCAATGGTCGGCAGCCAAGAGGGTTTTGCGATATCTAGCAAGTACATCAGGCATGGGTTAGTGTTGGGAGGACGCAGGCCAGTGGTCCTCACTAGGCAGACAAACGCTTCTTGGGCAGACGACTCTGAGACGCTCAGGTCGTCACAGGGCTACTGTTTTAGCCTTGGTTCGGGTGCTATCTCTTGGAGATCCACTCGCTCGTCGTCTGTTGCTCAGTCAAGCTGTGAGGCTGAGATCTACGATGGTGCCATGGCGGCACAGGAGCTCCGCTGGCTGACTTTCTTGCTCACAGACTTAGGTGAGCGGCCTAGCTCTGCCCCGGTCCTGTATGCTGACAACAGGGCCATGATACTCCAGTGTCAAGAGCCTCAACGTGAGGCAGAGCGAAGCACATTCAGCTGCGGTACTCCTCCTACGCGAGCTACAGCAGCGTCGCCAGGCCCGCGTAGTTCACTTGGCCTCTGGTGCCAACACAGCTGATATCTTTACGAAGGCGCTTGCGCCTAAAGATCATCAGCGGCACTGTGTACAGCTCGGTCTAGTTCCTGTAGCCTCTCACTTGCTAGGACCTTGACTTTGTACTGTCCTATATATATCTATGTATATGTACTCAGACTGGACTTGTGTCCTTTCCCAGTGGCTGGACTAGTAGTGCCGCCCTGGTCTTGTTCTTGTCTTGCCTGTACTCCTTTTGACTGGTCTTTAGACCCTTGTCTCAGTGGCTGGACTAGGAGTGCCGCCCTGAGCTGCTTGTTCAGGATTTGCCCCTATGCAGTCTAGGGGGTGTGTCAAATATATGTATAACTCATATTTGTATAGACTGTATAGGGTCACCTCTTAGAGGGTACAACACTCTTAGGTATATACCCTTGTTCTCTCCCTCTATGCAATTCATTCAGTTTTCTTTTTGATACTTCTAACAGAAACGTCCAAATCCTGGCTGGCGAAAGATAGAACGCTTTAATTCGCCAGGATCGTAATGCGTGTTCGCCCTCCCGGGCGGGGCCTCTTTCCTGGAGCGAAATTCGGTTACCATGCCGTTGATTCGGTTACCCTGCGCACCCGCTCATTTCTCGAGCCACGGGCGGGGCTCGTGTCCGCGCGTTTTGCGGTTGATACGGTGGGTGTACCTCAACACATTCACACTTGGCGAATCAATGTTTCGGCGTGTTAAAAAAACGTCAAAATTTCGTGTTGGTGCAAAATGAACGCGCTGGACACGCCCTAAGAGTCAAACCATACTACTGGATGGGCCACTCTCACTCCCTATCTGCTCCAAGCGAGCCATCTGGGCATCGAAGTCTACCTTGGCTGAGGCAGCTATCTCCCCATCAATGCGCAACGCTGATGCAGCCCCACAGAACTGGATAAAGAACATTCCCATAATTCAGCTCGTAATAGTCACAACTGCAAGACAACAGTCCATTTATTACAGATAAAATACAACCAACAGACTCCACAACTTCTGCACCAGCATTGTCCATACTACGACAGGCCTGAAGAAACGGATTCCTCCAAGCATGGAAAAATAGGCATGCCAGCAAAGCAAAACAAAAGAATTCGAAGGCTAGGACAGAGGACAATCTCGATACTCAAAGACCCTCATTCTCCCGTATTGGGTAACAAACTGAGGCAGTGCGCGCGGTCATACCATGGAAGTGGCCCGCCTGCTCCCCCCATGTCCACACCCGAAGGACTTGAATTGTTCAGCCAGCTTCGGGGAGGGAGGCTTCCTTCCACTCTGGGAAATGGACATTGCTGGGTCGGTCTGGCTGCTGCTGCGAGCTGCTGTCGCAATGCCAGCCGTTGGAGACGCATAGAAGCTCCTTTCCGCATGGTTACCGGACCCTTCAACGTATCTAGCGACGCTGGGAATGCCAAATTGCGAGAGCGGCGAATACGCAGGCGACGCTCGCACGTTATCCGGGATCGTCGCGGAGGTCAGGTCCGCCATGGAGTGAGAGCGACCTCGCATGTTGGAGCGCGGCTTGATGCTCGTGAATTGCTCCGCAATGTTCGCTTTCGGCGCTCGGGGAGGTTGACCGGAAAAACGGCGCTGGGACGACAACCGCCTCTGATGGCGAGGATTGCTCGCGGTGAGTCCAGAGAGCCCGCCGGAAAGTCGCTCAATTTGCTCAATTTGGCTCGACATTGGTGAATCCCGGGCGTACGAGCGCACTGCCGAAGACACGCTTCCTTCAGTGACCGCCGCGATTGGCGTTGGGATCGACGGTGGGAGGCCGCCTCCAGTCGTGCGCAATCCCAGCCGTAGATGAGGGAGCCGGGGGAAGCATGAGGCCGAGAATCAACCACTGAGCCGCATTTTCGTGACAAGCGGGAGTGCTGTCCGACCGTGGGGGTAACGCTGGCCTCGGCAGACATGGACCGTGCTTTTGCGCCGCATTCGGCGGGTGATGCTGTTGGAGACTGTTTTTTCTGTGGCAAGAGCAGGCGGAAGGACGTTGGAGTAGCGCTGGACGGCGGAGAGGATGGCCCAGGAGAGCTGACAGGCTGGGGGAAGGCACGCGCACGCCGCGTTGGCGCTGGAAATCGCCATCGTCGAGGGACGCTCACGAGGCTATATAGTACGTGAAACCGAACGAGGGTGAGAGGGTGAGGTGCGGGATAGGGAACGGACGCGTGGAAAGGATAGTGAAGATCAGAGGTAGGATCAGCTGAGTTTGATGGGGAATGAAGATGTGGGATGTAATGTGAATGGCGACAAGCGCCTAATATGTATTGGAGTGAGCCCAAGCAGTCAGTCTGCGACAGTGCGTTGTGAACTGCTGTTGCTCCGGCTGACGGGTGTGACGTGGGAGGGAAAGGCTTGCAGGGGGAAGAGTGGAGGAAGGGGAGGAGGGAAAGCGGAGGATTGGGCGACGAAAAGAACGAGTGGAGAGGAGAGAGGGAGAAGAGAAGAACGGGATGGAGTGGTTGACCCTTGGCTGGAAGGGAAAAAGCAACACCACACGAGGGAAATTAAGCGCAACTCGTGGGAACGATACACGTACACCCCTTCGCACGCGTGAAGATTTGCGGGAAGGGATTATGCGACGCGACAACCAAAGTTCATCGTCAGCCAAGTTAGGACACCAATTTCGACATCATGCGAGATATCGCGAAACTTTAAGTGGTAACAAAGTTGGAGATAAGGCCCAAAATGGGTGCGCTGGCGGCAGTAAGCGTGTAACGGTCGCATACGATTCGCGAAGCATTCAACTACCACGTCATCCCATGTGACGAGAGCAGACAGAGAAGACAAGCATGTATACAGTGAAACACGTTTGGGAAGGGCTCTCGGTTCGAGGGTAAACATACGGAATGTCAGGTACATTCCGAGTCTTTCCTGCTGAAATCCTAAGGTTTCTGACTCACAGTCCTCTTGAATGATTCCGGGTGTTTCCAAGGAACTCCCTGAGCAATCCGGGTTGGGCAAATTTTTATCCTGGCCATCCGACTGGCATGGAAACTAACCGTGTGGAATTGCAAGCCCTGCCCTCCCTCCGCC